AAAAAAAGTTTTCTAAATAAACCTAAAGAAAATCAGAGATTAATAATAATTAATAATGATAATCAGTACTTAACCGTAACAAGAAAGGTACATGTTTATACTTGGGTGTTTGCTTTTCTTTACAAACTATACTAAAAAGAATGGGGCACATAGAATATGAATTTGATCATATGCAAATCATAACTTTAGAGACATTGAGTCTAGTTTTCTTATTTGGGATTATTACTATGTTTCTGCTTTCAGGATTGAAATGAAGTGTTAATTACCTTTTAAGCCATAGTTGATATTAAAAATAAGAGACCAGTACATTGCAGTGAAAAAAATTATTCTAATTTTAAAAAAATATCTGGAAAGACAGACATCAAAACATTAAGAGTCATTATATAGGGGTATATAGGTACTCATTTCTTCTTTATTCCTGAGTATACTTCCAGATTATTTTTCATAAAATATAAATGAAAAAACATAGTTATAAAAACTTCTCTAAATTGAATGTCACATATATCATCAATTTTTTTTTNTCCTTTTTGTCTTTTTTACCAACCGGCAACGGGATCGCAACCCTCGGTGTCGCGCCCGCACCACGCTCAGCCAGTGAGCGGGAACCGGTCTCCACATGGGATCCGAATCCTTGGTGGGAGCGCCGCCGTGCTCCCAAGTGGCGCACTCTCCAGTGTGCCACCGGGCCGGCCCTATTTCATCAATTTTAAGATTTGCATTTTTTCTGTAGTCTAACATTTCTGAAATGGGAACGTGACTTAAAATCAATGGAATTTCACAATTGTTGGTGGTCAGGTTTTCAGTTTCATCTTGCAAATCAGGATCCATTTTATAATTGATAGCATCTTCAACTTAATGAAATACAGTATTTTATACCTGATTTGAGAACTGTTCATGGTTATGCTTGCTTACTTAATAATGGCGTGTGTGTGTTTGAGTGCTAGGGTCATTATAAGCTAAGATCATCACACCCCTGGGGAAACACTTTTGTTCCAAGTCATGAAGCCACAGCCCAGAGACCACTGTAGGACAAGACCACATACCAAACCTGTGATGTGACAGCAAATGTCACAGAGAGGAAGAAGGAGAAATGCTACGTGGGAGACTCCTGAGTGATTTTTCTTTAGAGCTATTCTTAAAGCTCCTTGCCCTCAGAGCTAAAAAGGGAATCACTTGTAACAATCAACAAGTCTATATATCACCTCCTGTCCCAAATAGCAGGGACTAGTGGTTAATGATGTGACCTACCTCCCTTCTGCCAGAATTATCAAGCTGGGACTATGGTTTTCTTCTGATGGGGGATGGTGATTTGAATCAAAGGGCC